TGTGCGTGTGCGTGTGCGTGTGTGTGTGTTGTGTGTGTGTGTGTGTGTTTGTGCGTGTGTGTGTGTGTGTGTGTGTGTGTGTGTGTGTGTGTGTGTGTGTGTGTGTGTGTGTGTGTTTGTGTGTTTGTTTGTTTGTTTGTTCGTGTGTTTGTGTTTGTGATTGCGTGTTTGCGTGTGTGTGTGTGTGTTTGTGTGTGTGTGTTTGCTTGTGTGGTTGCTTGTGTGCGTGTGTGTGTGTGTGTGTGTGTTTGTGTGTGTGTGTGTGTTTGTGTTTGTGTTTGTTTGTTTATTTGTTTGTTTGTGCATGTGTTTGTTTGTTTGTTTGTTTGTTTGTTTGTTTGTGCGTGTGTTTGTGTTTGTGCTTGTGATTGTGTTTGCGTGTGTGTGTGTATGTTTGTGTGTATATGTGTGTGTGTGTTTGTGTGTGTGTGTTTTTGTGTGTGTGCTTGTGTGTGTGTGTGTGCTTGTGTGTGCTTGTGTGTCTGTCTTTGCGTGTATATGTGTGTGTGTGTGTTTGTGTGTGTGTGTGTGTGTTTGTGTTTGTGTTTGTGTTTGTTTGTCTCTTTGTTTGTTTGCTTGTTTGTTTGTTTGTGTGTGTGTTTGTTTGTGCGTGCGTGCGTGTGTTTGTTTGTTTGTTTGTTTGTTTGTTTGTGCGTGTGTTTGTGTTTGTGTTTGTGTTTGTGTTTGCGTGTGTGTTTGTGGTGTGTGTGTCTGTGTTTGTGTGTGTGTGTTTGTGTGTGTGTGTTTGTGTTTGTGTTTGTGTTTGTGGTTGTGTGTGTGTGTGTGTGTGTTTGTTTGTTTGTTTGCCCGAGTTTGTGTGTGCGTAGTTTTGTGTTTGTGTTTGTGGTTGTGTGTGGTTTTGTTTGTTTGCCTGTTTGTTTGTTTGTTTGTGTGCGAGTGTTTTGTGTTTGTGTGTGTGCGTTTGTGTTTGTGTGTGTGAGATTGTGTGAACGATTGTGTGAGTGATGGTTCTTGATGTGATTATAGTTGATGAGGCCGAATAGTCTAACAGGACTGTCTTTAAGAAAAAAACATTTGTAGATACGAACTGTGATAAGATAATCATTGGAACCGGAGATGCTAAACAGCTAAAGCCGATGCAAGCACTGACTGACACCAGTTTCTGGCAGGCTGCAAAGAACACTGATTAACCAACTTCCAAGGATTGGAAAGATGGCCAATCTACCCAGGTAACCTACCCGCGGTTCTAACGATGGTCATGAACCTCTCAATAGGTATTTTAGACCATTTAAGGTTTCTTAGGGAACTATGGCGAAGACCCATGAGAGCTTTGACCACAGCACGTGCAGGCTTCCGGAAATTTTGACGGATTTGAGAAGAGGCATCTACCAGTCAAGGAGTTTGTGGCCCGTACTGCCTGTGAGGGCTGTGATGCTCGTAGCACGAAAGTGGAATGACATTGCATGCTTCAAGTGCCATGTGTATTCCCACCACAGCACACTTGATTCACATTACGCACCGGTGTGTCTTGGCTTTCTTCGGCCTCAAATGGTGCATGTTGTTGTTTGAAGGTCTTCTGGTTTGGTTGATTTACAGTTTAATAAAGGGATGCCAACGGGTTCACAACCATTCCCCCCCTCCTCCGGTTTTTGACACACATACTCAACATGCTGCGCAAAGCGCCAGGGGCCAACCAAGTAGGCCGGGGCCAGTTTCGCGGCTTTGGGAAGATGCATCTTGGAACTGTGTGGCGCTTTGAGGTCCCAACACCCTCATCTCTAATTGGCAGACGGGTGGCTGAATCAAAAGGCATACAGTGAGAATCATAACTAAGCAGTCCTGGTGTTGTATGCGCGGGGGCTGTTTCGAGCTTCCATCCATTTGACTCAAAACGGCATGCCGGCCCGACCCTTTTGACCCCAGCGGGAACGGGCCGTTGCAGTGAATTGCTTCGTCGGCCAGCTCCATCTAGCGACGATGAGGTGGAGGAGGCCAGTGCGAGTGCTTCTTGGGTGCTACTTATGTCTCACTTGCTCAATTCAGACCTTTGGACTTTTCGGTTCTCCCTTGTTGGATTGTCGAGTCATGGCCCCAGCTTAACCCTGTATGTGTGGCTGCTTTGGGCACTGAAATTTGGTCGAATCTTTGTTTGCGAAATGTGTGTTGTTCTGCGGCGCAAAATGCTATCTATGTTTTTGCACAGGGAGTAATAGCCACGAAAGAGGAGCGGCTTTTTCAGCCTTTGAGTTTCTTTGTGTGCTCCCCGTTTTAAGGGTGTCCAAAGTTAAGTTGAGCCTTTTGTTTGCAAATTCTCTGGACAGAGGTGTTAGTTGTTTGGCCTTTGCCACCACGTGGCGGCCAACAGAAAAGTGCGCAGGTGATGCGAATGACAAGCACCAAATCCCGCCGGCGTGGGGGTGTCTCTGCAGAAGCTATGCGGGACGAGGCCTTTGGGGGCGCAAGATATGTGGGGCAAAGCCACTCAGGGCATGAGAAGTTGTGAATCAACATGTACCAAGTGGAGACTGCACGTAAGTGCTTTGTGCGATTGTGAGATGAAAGCTGCGCCGCTTCACAAAGGCCAAAGTGATCAGGTTGAGTTGTGTGTGGCTTAATGCCTCGTTTTTTTGGCACCCATCAACAACCTGGCTACACGTAAAACAGAAATGGGGATAATGGGGACCCACAACCAGAACCTCGGTAGATGAATCTTTGAAAGGGTCAGTTGCCAGAACTAGGTCCTGATATCCGCCCTCCATGGATTTGCGACCATGGCAGCCTCGCCATTTTGATACCAGGCTTTGGGTGTCTTGTTTTAGGGAACTCGTGGTGGCTTCCTTCTGAAGTGTCCCTGAATGGGGCTGCCAGGAGGAATGGGTGCCTCCGAGCTACCCGAAGAGCCCAGAGGAGAAGCAACAGCTGCGCCAAGTGCCTTGGCTTCTCAAGTGGCTCGAGTGGTTTCGCACGGTTCCTCTTCCTGGGGCAACCATTTTTAGTCATGGAGTCATGGCTTCCATGAAGGTTGCCCTTCAAAAAAGGCGTCCTGTGGCATTTGAGCCATGGCGTTTCCTGCAGGCCACCCTTTGGTTAAGCTCTGCATAATACTTGACTGCTATTGGGTTGGATCTTTAGACTTTAACTTTTTGGGAAATCAAGGGGGTTTTCCACTAAACCCCCAAAAAGTTAAACTTTTTGCAGGGGGGTCAACAGCAACCAAGAACAGAGGGACCAGCGTCGCCTCGGGTTGGGGCCCTTTGTGTTCAATCAGCAGTGGTGGCTTTGGCTACGGGGTTAGAATTTGGGGTTGATTCATTGCGCAGCGCGTTCAAGAGCCATCGTTCAGTCCCCCTAGAAATTGAGTATAAGTCGTTTCCCCCAAGCAAGCAAGCCAGGGAGGGAGGATATGCCACCCTGGTGCAGCCCCTGTCCTTGCCAATTGTGTTTGGCTCGCTCAGGTCATCGAAAGCTCGCACGATAGCAGCCTGCTTGCAGACCATTGCAGTGTGGGATGCGGGTATTCAAAAGGAGCTCCTCGGACCCGAGTGTACTGACCCCACGGCAAGGTTGCAGCACTGTCTTGCCAGTTCCAAAGCTCAGGCAAGCTTCGGATGATGCCAGGGGCCAAACCTGCTTTCCAAACAGGCATGCTCAATTCTCCCTCCAGGAAAGCAAGAGAAGTTGTAGTTTCTCTAGGCTTCCTCTCTAGCACCCAGTGTGTCAACCTGCACTGGCCTCCGCTAGGCGAGTTCACCCGATCGCCATGCGCGCCCTGAGGTTTGGAAATTTGTCTCCCAAAGGTCTCGAGAAGGTGGTGGAGGTGGGTCGAGACTGAGTTGAGATGCTGGAGGGTTGTACCACGATGTTTTTAAGGCTTGGCGGTGCCTGAAGTACTCACCTGCGAATAGGCACGGACTACGCGAAAAGCGCATTCCTCTACAAACGGGGGCTGAAATTTGTACGCGGGTGAAGTTTCTGTGTGCGCTTCCCTGTCTGACTCAGCTGGTCTCACATGCTTTGAGAGGCCATGTTCTGCAAGCTGCTGGCAAAGCGGGAGACCATCATCAAGTGGGGCACCAGATGGGGAGGAGCCAGAACCCTCAAGCCTTGACGTGTTCTTTGCACTTTATTGACATGTTCTTCTTGGCCCCCACGTGTGATGCTGCCATAGTAGGGAACTGCATTTGGCCATCTCAGTCAGGTGGCTACTTTGGCTATCATGCACGTACTCCTTGTGCTGCCTTCTCAGGTACGGCGACGAAGGAGACAACTTTTACATCGCGGTGCCAGCATGTTTGGGTGTGTAATTTGACCCGCTTCTTTGCCTGGGTGTGTTGGTATAGGTTTCTAGGGGTCTCAGGCAAGTGGCCCTGTCTCCAAACAAGAAATCCTTTGAGAGGGTTTCAATGGCATGCTGACAGGAAACCACCCATGTAGCGTGCCTCTAAACAACCCCGAACAAAGGACATGTCCCCATTCAGCTTTCCTTTGGGGGAAGGGAACGAATAGACAGGGGGCCAAGGCTCGAGTTTTGTAGAGGATGGAATTGCAAGGTGAGGAAGGGGAGCTTCGACATCTTCGCCTTCCGGAAGATCCGCGGCGTGCCGCACTTGGGCTTTCGATTGGTTGACTCGCTTTGGTGGTCTACCGGGCTACTGGCTCGCACATGGAAACGGTTTTTTGAATGTGGCAAGTTGGGCTATGGGTTGATGAAGGCTGTCCGTGGAGTGGGGCGAAAAAAACATCTCAAACTAGTTCGTTCACGAGCGGTCCTTATGTGCGGGTTTTGAACTATAGAACAGTCGCTTGGTGGGTTGCAAACACTGTTGAAGTCGAACGGAGATGATTTGCACAATCCCGGCTTTAACATGAGTGAAACAAGGGCTTGGCCCAACCTAAAAGAGGTACTCACTTCCTGAGTTCCTGGGCTTGACACTTTTGGGTTTGGACCATGTTAGTGGTAAACAAAAAATAACGGACTCTTTTTGACCAATCCACATAGGAAGTGAGCCTTTTTTTTTTCTGGGTCCACCTGAGAGGACGTCCGCACAAAAGGTTTGGACTGACCTTTTCTGGCCAATCGACTTGTGCTTTACCCAAATGGACCCAACGACTTCAGGCTCAGGCTGAGGAGGAGGATGGTGGCATGGTCAAGGCGCGGTTTTGTGAGAAGGGATGGGGGGGGGGGGCGGTGGGAAGCGTTAAAACGGAGCTTCTACTGCTAGGAAAATCTGAAAGTGGTCCTTTTGAGGCTGTGTGTTTCTTTGTTTGATGGCCGACTGGTTGGTTTGTTTGCTGTTTGCGTGTAATTGTGTTGTTTTGTTGATTAGTTGATTGATTGATTCATTGTTTGATTGATTGATGGATGGATGGATTGGATGGATTGATGGATTGATGGATTGATGGATTGATGGATGGATTCATGGATTCATGGAGTCATGGATTCGTGGATTCATGGGTTGATGGATTGATGGATTGATTCATTGATTCATTCATTCATTGTATTGATTGATTGATTGATTGATTGATTGATTGATTGATTGATTGATTTGATTGATTGACTTGATTTAATTTGACTTGATTTGATTTGATTTGATTGAGTGAGTGAGTGATTGATTCATTGGTTGGTTCGTTGATTGATTGATTGATTGATTGATTGATTGATTGATTGATTGATTGATTGATTGATTGATTGATTGATTGATTGATTGATTGATTGATTGATTGATTGATTGATTGATTGATTGATTGATTGATTGATTGATTGATTGATTGATTGATTGATTGATTGATTGATTGATTGATTGATTTGTTGATTTGTTGATTGAGTTGATCGATGGACGGATGGAATGGATTGGATTGATTGGATTGGATTGGATTGGATATTGGATTGGATTGGATTGGATTGGATTGGATTGGATTGATGGGGGGTTGATGGGTTGATTGATTGGTTGGTTGGTTGATTGATTGATTGATTTGTTGATTGAGTTGATCGATGGACGGATGGAATGGATTGGATGGATTGGATTGGATTGGATTGGATTGGATTGGATTGATGGATTGATGGGGGGTTGATGGGTTGATTGATTGGTTGGTTGATTGATTGATTGATTGATTGATTGATTGGTTGGTTGGTTGGTTGATTGATGGATTCATGGATTGGATTGGTTGGTTGGTCGGTTGGTTGATTGATTGGTTGGTTGGTTGATTGATTCATTGATTCATTGATTCATTGGTTCATTGATTCATTGATAATTGGATTGGGTTTGGATTGGATTGGATTGGTTGGTTGACTGATTGACTAACTTGATTGATTCGTTTGAGTTGATTAGTTTGATTGACTTTATTGATCCATGTGTTTTCATTGATTTGATTGATTTGATTTGGTTTTATTGATTTAGGGTTTAGGCGCTTATGTTGTTATTTGATTGATTGATTGATTGATGGATGGATTGACTGATCGACTGATTGACTGATTGATTGACTGATTGATGTGTTTGAATGAATGAATGAATGAATGAATGAATGAATTCATGAATTGATTGATCGATTTGAGTGATTGATTGATTTTACTTTAGTTGATGTGATTTGATTTCATGCGAGTTGATTGTCATTGATTGATTCATGCATTCATTCATTCATTTGTTCGTTCGTTCGTTCGTTCAATCATTCATTCATTCACTCATTCATTCATTCATTCATTCATTCATTCATTCATTCATTCATTCATTCATTCATTCATTCAATGATTGATTGGTTGATGGGTTGATTGATTGATTGGTTGATTGATTGATTGATTGATTGATTGATTGATTGATTTGATTTGATTTGATTTGATTTGATTTGATTTGATTGATTGGTTGGTTGGTTGGTTGGTTGATTGATTGATTGATTGATTGATTGGACGCCCAATCGAGTTTCAGCAACCGGCCAAAGCTCTTTTTTTTGGAGTATCTAGATTCTTTTGGCTCCCCCCAATTCCTGGCAGGGTTGACAAAACCAGGGGCTATCAAAAGACTAGCACACTCCCTCCAGCAATCCTGGTAGCTGATCGGAGGGGCTTTCCTTTTAATATGCGCTCTGTCCACTTCCATGATTGGAAAGAGGGTAATATTCACTTGGATGTTCAGCTCGCGTGAATAGTTTTTTTTACCCATGACTCCACCGGGTCCCTTAGCGGATGCATTTGGGCCAGCTAATGCCCCAAATCCCCTCATATCCACCCAACTCCTTGCAAAAGTGTTTTCTTTTTTTTTTGGGCGGGGGAATGTTTTTGTTTTTTTTTTTCCCCGGGGGATGTGCCGGATTTCACCGGCTTCCACTTGGAACCCGGTGCTCTACCTGGGCCCACCTCGGCTTCAACGAAAGCCACGCGGCGCGCATCGGAGGTCTTCGAGGCGCGCCAGGGATTTGCCTTCGGCGAGGCGGCGCTGCTCTACAACGCCCGGGCGCCCGAGACGAAAGCGGAAGCCGACCAAAACAGAAACCAGGGCCATCTTAGTGTGGTCTTGTGGTTGGAATCCAACCACTGAACTGCTAAAATTTATTTGTTTGTCCTTTTTGGGCTGTTTTGGTAGAGACATAGATGGCGATTCCTGGTTTACCAGGTGGTTTAATCATCTACCAGGGACATCTAGTTGCCCTCAAAGCACTCCTATGCTTGGAAGCGGTGCACCACCCGGATGGGTCCCGTTTTGCTGGGGGGGGTTCTGTTCGGTTTTATATTTTCGCCTTTGGCTTTCCTTGGCTTTCAACTGGCTTTCAATTTTGTCGTGGGGGCTTCCATTGGCTTTCAATGTTCCTTGGGAAAAGTGACACGATCCGCGGAGCTCCCAGGCTTTGGAACCGAGTCTTACTCTCGTCTTGCGCTTCTTGCCCGGTTGTTTGAGAACCTGCTGAAAAGGCCGCGCAACGATGAGAGGGTCACACTGCGAGCACATGGCGCAAGATGGAAACTCTTGCTTGGCTGCTGCTTGGGTGTTTACGGCAAAGGAACATCAATCATCATGGGTTGCGACCCATTGCATGCCACGATTTACTCATGAAGTAGAGAACGCAAGCCTGCCATTAAGAAAGGGAGGATTCATCTGGGTTTCGCTCCAGCTGACCCCCAAAATAGTTGATGCTCTTTCAAACCCAACCAACCAGGGTTCCCCCAAATCCGCGCCGGTCACAGGCCCCGAGGTCAGCCACAATCATAGCGAGAGAGGACAGAGGGGCTTGCAAGAGTCGTGGTCAAATTGCGTTGCTTCCATTGATCAAAAGGTGCTTTACATAGGAAGAACATTGGGGAAAACCAAGCAAAACATGATATGTTCCACTAAATGGGAAAAGTTACCCAGAGTTACCCATGGTCATTTGCGGCCAGGAATATTGATCAGCCCCCAATTGTTTGCTGTTGTTGGTTTTGAAGGGATCCCCGATGGCTTCCAGGGATCCATTTGCTTCCATTCCGTGGTCGGAGAATGCGTTATTTCCTCTGTCTTTCTGACTTCGGCAGAACTTGTCGCAAATTCGCGAGCATACTCCCCAGCAATTTAACGTGCAACCCACAAGCCCCACTCCCCCCCCCCCCATGTTCCTGTGAAATGATTGGTTTTGGGTTTCCATGTTGATTTGCAGGGGAGTACTGCAAAGTTGTGCACATGTTTAAACTACGCCCTGGTCGCCTTAGGAAAAGCAAAGGTTGTTCAAACAACGGCGGTTCAAGCCATGGTTCAGTTGGCTCATCCCCTGGTTTGAGGTGCGGAACATCCGTGTTTGCGTGTTCCCTAGCCCGCCAAAATGCTGATTTTCCTTTGGGCTTCCCGTGAAAACCAGGAAAAGATGGGTACGCTCACGAAAAAAGCGCCCATGCGCGTTCCTCGTTGTTCCACGCGGTTGCATGAGAACGTGGCAAAACGAGCGGTGCCTAAACACAAGCGCTGCACAGCCATCGACATGTGAGCGGCAAGCCGCAAGGACTCAGAAGTTTGGTGCCTGGAGAGGAGAGCCTTCCGAGAACTCGTCATCAGGCGGGCGGCGAGATGGAAGCGTTTCCTCTTTGGTTGGTCTCCTTCTAACTTCCCTCTTGGCCATCAGCGCACGAAGCGAAACTATGGGCGTTGTATGATAAGGGTTCTGAATGGACGTGGGACCCCTTCGAACCATCAAAAACAGCGCTTCAGCACGTCCGACAGTTATGTTGCTGCCCAGCGCAGTACAGTCAAAGCATCCGGCAGTCGATGGTCATGTTTTGTCGGAGCGGGCTCACCAAATCTTGCGGCACCAGTCAGCGCTCCCGCGGCTGGTCTTTGTGGCTGGCCGCAAAGGCAACAAATCGGTATGGGTCAAAATAAAGCCACCAGGCACCGCAGGTTTCGGCCCATGTTTCCACTTCTTATTCAATTTTGGGATTTCTCCTCTTTGAGACACAGCCAAATGGCAACGAGCTGCGAAGAAACGCCGATGGCAAGCCGCTCAGGGCTTCGGAGCAGAAGTTCAAGGAGTGCCCGAAGAAGAGCAAGAAGCCTTTGGACCTCCGGTTTGCTGAAACCTGTGTCCGTTTTTGGGAGAGCGGGAAGCCTTGCCAAGGAACTACCGAAGGGTAGAGGTTTGGGTAAGGGGCTAATGTCAGCTTTGGATTTCTGAAAAGGGAGTATGTGTCATGATAGCACTGATCCAGCAAATCTGCCCCAAATGCGTGTTCTGCGTGGTCCTGATGCATGTCGTTAGTCCTGGGCTCGCGATATGTCACGACTTTTGGGCAAGCACGCAGAAAGAACTGGGCGCTGCACCAAGTTCATGTCAACTTTGGCGGGAAATAGCCGCCTGTGACTCGTAGTCCATGCTGATTCTTGCTGGTACGATAGGCAGGGAATGAGAAATGACCTTGATAAACAATCCAAGTGGTGGTTTCCTGTAAGGGGACCAAAGCCATTTCGCACCAACAGTGGATTTCCGCAGGTACACGGAGTTCCTGAAGCACTGCGACGTGCTGCAAGAGCTGGATGTGGAGCGGATTGCGAAAGCGATTTCACATGAGATCTCCGGTTGACTGACAGGAGTTGCCATTTCCGTAATCACACACCTCTTCGCATCTGTCTTAGTGTTCTGTATGATTCTTCTTGTTGTTAGTGGCAGGATGCAAAGAACTAAGAAGAACTAAGTTCGTAAACATGCCGAAGGTTTGGAAAGCGGAATTGCCTAATTACAGCAGTCGAATGGGGTTGTGTGGCGCATTAAGGCAAAACTACGTCATGTTCAGAAGCGAATGTGTCCCTACTTAGCCCATAACAAGATACTTCTCACGTGCAAACATTCATGTTGGCGCTAATTGGAGTGATTTTGGACTCATGCCTCATATGATCCGTGCCCGTGACGGGTGCTATATGGTGGCTGCCGGAGGTCAGAGCATTTTGGGGATTTGCAGGTTGCCAAGCTGCGTAAGAACGCGCACTGTCTATCTCGTGTTGCAAGTCCTGCAAGGTGGCCGTTGCACACCCACAATAATTCATGAATATGTGAATGCCACATTGCGTTCAGCGTCACGACGAAGGAACCCGCATCATTCCGCATCCAATTGATCGTGAAGTCGACTGACCACTTCAACTCAGCCTCCAATTGATCGTGAAGTCGACTGACCACTTCAACTCAGCCCAAAAAAGAAAAGCTTTCCATGGCCACCGGAGGACTGGAGGTCTGGGTATTCCACTTTTGTGGCTTAAATATCAGCCTTTCTGGTGAGCTTCTCAGCTCGCTTGAAGAAAAATTCAGGAAGCCCCCTGGAACAGTGGCTGGTGGACAAAGCAAGCTCCTGTAGGTGGTTCCCGCCAATCAGTCCCCAATAGCCCAATAGCTTTAGTCTGTGAGCTGACAGACTCAGCTTGGATTCCCAGCACATTGTCCCACGCCCTGCCTTCGTCCAGGAGCAGATCGCCACCCTCGCAGAGGCGCTGGGTCCGCCTCCTGCCATGGAAGTATCCGGGCTGATCAGATTCGCAGTTCGGTTTCCTAAATGGACGGATTTCAATGTGACTTGCGGCCCCGGATGTTGTGGGAAGCCCAGGAAATATGCAAGTTTCACATGCGAGGGATCTTCACTGGACTCTATGCCAGGTGGTGGATGAGGAAGACTTCCAGAGTGAGGAGGCAACACAGTGGGGTTCCACTGTTTCTGGCGCAGTGTTTGGTAACATCTTACTGCGCCCTGGACAGAGATGAAGCAAGCAAGGTATTGAATCGATCCCAGGGTTTAACATTGACCAAGTGTTGACTAGATGCGGCAGCGCGGTATTTTGTTCTGGGCCATCGGAAGTTTAAGTCCATTGCGAAATCAGAAAATTAGAAGGAACTCCGAAAACTGGAGCAACTTGAGCAGAGGGTCCGTGTAGCCCGCAGCCATCGACCTGCGAGGTCATCATTCAGCAAGGGGCTGGTGCCTGAGGGTCCCTTGAATCGCTTCTGATTCGCAGAGCATGGGCGCCATGGCGCAATGTTCAGAGGGGGCGCGAGTTCACGACATGGATTCTGCTGAGGGGCATGACAGCAACATGTTCATCATGCTGTCAGGGGAGGCGTGGCATGTCATGCAGGTTTTTGGCAAGCGGACAGCCAAGAGATGCGCCTTTGAATAGGTCCGTCTTATGTTGAGGCACCTCCTTTTTTGGGCCGCGGTTCTCCATGGGGAAGCCAGAAGGGAGCTCATTTTTGGGGGGTTCCACAGAAGATTGACATGGACCTCCCAAAAGAAGCCCGAGTGTCATAAAGCCAATTTGCTCGATGATCCAGGGTTGTTCCATTGGGATGGACCATGATTCCCACACATGTATGCAATAGTTACCCACTTCTTGACCCACCAAATGGGTCTCACCTTTTGCGGAACAAACCGATCGCAGGCTGTGGCCTGCATCGCCGGTGAGAAGGGCGAAGTCCAGGCGACCTTGACCTCCGATTTCTCGGGGAAGCGTGGCGACGGGTTCCGTGAAAACCACCAGGATGTGTCGCGCCTTCTCCAAAAGACATCCATACCTGAATTTGAATGAGGTTGCACGAAGAAGTTAAGTCAAGTCATGACCATGGAAGCAGGTTCGTAGTTACGTAGATCGTATCAACCAGCATGTTCAACTTGTGCACGGAGTCGGATCAGTTTGGCCAAGCTTTCAAGGAGACGAATGGCCACTGGGAACGGAGTTGGCTTAAACTCCAAGAGATTTTGCTGGTCTCGTGTGTGGTGTCGTCTTGATCCCGCATCATCAATCACCACTCACCGTTCTCCTTAACTTGGGGCACCAAGTGGCCTTCCGGGGCCGTGGGTTTGCCCATTTTTGGGGGCTGATGGATCCAAAGTCCTCCCCGCGAAGGTGAAGAGCTACAAAACCGGCGACTTCTTCGGCGAGATCGCCTTGTTACTGGGTGAGCCGAGGAAGGCGGACGGCCGCATCGCAGCGATGTGCAGGGCTTGGACATCGGAATCGGGCAATTTGGGGGGATCGTCTTGGCCCGGGTTGCGCTGTTTGGATGGCCAAAAACAAGGACAATCTTGGTTGAGACCCTGTTTCCCTTAGCAAAAGGGTGTCTTTTTCACAGGGGGTGTTGAAACATTCTTGGCTTTGCCTAACACGAGTGAAGGGTCTTCAGTTGATCCGCCAGGCCAGTGTTTATGCCAAAGGCGATGCCACATGCCTGGTGATCACCAAAGACGTGTTCGACCGGGTGGAGAGCTCAGCCCGGCCATCGGGCTGGTGGCTTTCGGCTTTCCATGAGTTGATGAGTTGACCGCACAGCACAGGTGCTCGGCCCACTCAGGGACTTCTTGAAAAGGAATCTGGCCAAGCAAGCGGCCCAGAGATTTGTCCGAGAGTTGTTTTTGTTCAGTGCGCGAGTGGTTTTAGAGAGAGCTTTCTGGCCTATTGCCTGAATTTGCTTCACCGAGGTATGCCAAGTACCAAGATGCGATCGAGCAAGGCGCGGCGCTTTTTACTGAAAAGCCGGAAGCAGAAACTCGATTTGTCCACAGGCCCATGGCGTTGCAACAGTGTTTCTTCAAAATGTGGCAAGAGCTGGGCCTTCATCTTCACTGGGCATGTGTTGATGTGGGTTCGGTTCCGTGTGTGCTTTTTCGTGGCAAGCAAGGAGCGCTCAGTTTTCGGCTAAGATGCCCTTTGGGTTGGAATGAGACGCCGAGAGAACCGAGACGCAAGGCGGAGAGCTCCGCGGCTCGACGGAGCAAGGGACAGAGATGGAGCCCGCGGCATGTGAGCAAGAGTCCGGCAGAATGTGTTCAAACCACCAAGCCCTGGCCCCTTTCCGAGTCCGGAAGACTTAAAGGTATGTAAACATCATGTTGGTTGGCCATGTTGGCCCAAGCCTGTGCGACTTTGCACAAGCAACTCATTACTCGCGTTCCCGAAAGTGCAGGCGGCGCAGCCAGGAACGAACGCTAGGGTTCGTGAAAGCTTCTGAACCCCAGAAGTTGCCTCCCGCAAAGCCTCGCGAGGAGAAGGAGGAGAAGTCGCGCACTCAGGGCAGAGCATGCGGAGCATGTGCATCTCCTGCTTGTTGGGGTGCTTATGAACGATCGGCTTTCAGCAGCAGGATGGTCAAGAGCAGTGCTGCTTTGACGTTTGTCTATTGGTTTCCGGTGTGATTGAACAAAACAATAGTCAGGCTGTCGGCACGGTCACATCCAAGTCCAAAGATGTTCAATGCCAAGGTTGCCCAAAGGCGACCTTTTCATTTCTCAAGATCTTGCCAGAGCTTGTCTTCTTGTTTTTTGAAATATCTGGAAAAGTTAAAAGGTCAATCTCTGCAGATCCTTTGGACAAGTGAGATAGGATAGTCAGAGTCAGCCCTTGGTCACGCAGCATCGCATTTCATTAACGCTGCAAGGCTGGAGGCGGAGAGAACGCAGGAGGCCCCGAGCCACCACCTTGCTTCCACCCACCCACCCACCCCCAAAAACAAAAAACACGAGAGCAGATTAGTTGTGTTTGTTTGTTTTTTCTTTCGAAACGAAGGCTGAAGCTCACATGGCTTTTGCACTGGTTGCAGCAGGGCGAAACACGTTTGCAGCAGCGGCCTCGAACATGGGCTTGCGAACCATCCCAAAGCTTCTGGGCGGCCCATCGCCGCAGGCTGAGGAGGCTGAGGGTGAGGTGCCCAGACCTTTGCGGCGGCGCCTCTTGAGGAGCTGGCCAACGGGGCACTGGGCACGCAAGGGCGCAAGTACAGGCAGTTGCTTGGAGCCATGAAGAAGCACATGCCAAGAACGGGGGAAAACTTGCATCATTGTCCCTGTGTTGAGTAGCTGAGCTTTGGAGGACCTTCCACTCTTTGGCCCCCCCCCAGTGTGTTGCACGTGGCATTGGGCACTTCAGCAAATGTTCATTTGACATGCTGGTTGCTGCAGGAAAAATGACCGTGCGCACACAGTGTACAACGTGAAGATCAAGGCTGGCACCAAAAATGTAGGGGGCAATGCTTCAACTTGGCGAGAAGTGCATCAAATAGATTTCTCCGGGGAGCGGGGGGTAGGGGGTGAGGCGTTTGAGGCTGCTTCGACAACGGCAGCGCACAGATTCTCAGTGAATGTTGCACCCTGTCCGTCAGCTGCCTGTGGACCTGGATATTGACGAGGACGAGGAGGCGGGAAAGGGCAGAATGTCGCTGGTCATTTGTTGCAGCCCCGCAGAGTCAAAGGACACTTGATTGGAAGCCTAGACGGGGGGGTGTTGCTCGTTGATGCGTTGGGTGACACAACTGCCGCCCTTTGAGCAGATCCCGGATCATCGGATCGTCATGCCAAGCTTTGCGAGCGGGCAGGAGGAGAAGGTGGAGAGCAAAGAGAGCGAGAAGGCGCGAAGCCCGCCCATTTTCTGGTTCGTTTTGCTTGGGTCCACTGAAACAAGGCCCCAAAGATACATTTGGGCCAAATCTTTGTCAGCTGGTTTCGGGGACGACCTTGTAAAGCAGGTGGTGTTTGAAGGTATTCTTTGAGGAAGCGTTCTCCAAATTACTTTGGGAGGGGTGTTAAACTGTTTGGAAATATATCTGACGCATGTAGCTCTAGTGGATGCAGTTTGTGGGTTTGGGGCTGTTTGTGGGCACTGTTTGTGTTGTTTGGAGGAAGCGAACGGCCAAATAACCGTTTTAGAGTCTAACACGGTTATCTGCATTTTAGACGGGACCCTGTTTTATGACACATCCATAAAGGTTGCTTCTTTTGGATTATTTGTTGAATACATGCCCTCGAGAGGGACATATGTTGGGCAAGTGGGGGCAAGGATATGGAAAGCTTTCGATTCCCGCCTCTCGCTTTTAAAGGTTTGCGTCTTCGCTTCTTTAGTCCCGTGGTTGGCTTTCGACTTGGATTCTGTGCTGCTACCTTTTGGACCGGAGTCGGGCTCAACCTAGGCCTCTACATGTAAAGCACCTGGTTTGACTATGTTTGACTCCCCACCTGGAACCCCCCCAAAGTATTTTCCGGGGGGGGGGAGACCTCCCAAAGAAGCCTCCATGAAGGGTTTCTGGCTTCCATGCAACCCAAGGACGCCGCTGCTCCCCCGAGAGGCAGATGGATTCGGCCGACTCGGCGGATGTCTTTTGGTTGAAATGGATTTGAAACGGCAGCAGTTCCTTGTGGCTTCCGCCCCTTGCTGGTCCAAGAACCATACCATAGGGGACACCATATTGACGAACCCCCCGCACCTGAAGCATCTGCGGTTTTGCGGTCTCCGCAGGTCAGCAGACGCTGGCAGACCGTGTGGCAGAGGATTGGAAGAAGTCTAGCGCTCAGACCTTTCAGGATGTACTGGGCCCATGGAGCTTAATGTAGTCTGTGTCCAGACCATGTGGGAAATTGGGTTTAGGTTGCCACCAAGGGAATCCCCATAATGGCAACATGGTCATGAGGGTGCCCCACTTTGGTTCTAGACAGGGTTATTTCCCACAACCATGTTGGTTTCTGTTTAGATCTTTGCGACGCACGGGGCCTCATTCTGTCGTGTACTGCGGTACTGGCACTTTGGTCGAGGCCCCAGCTGGTTGAACCCACTGAGAAGTTCACGGTGGCGACGGGAGCTCAGAGCTCTGCGGATTAACAGAGAAGTCAAGAAGGATATTTCCCCGAAGAGGAGACTCCTCCAGCAACAACCTGTCGGTTTTGTTTTTCTTTTTCTTTCTTTTTTTTTGGGGGGGGGGAGGGCGGGTCCATGTCAATCTGCAGGAGATCCAGCCCTCTTGTGGTATCAGTTTCCAGCAGGCAGTGGGCGCTTCCCACAGACACGTTCCTCCCCCTGTGGCGAGTGTTTGGACCGAGGAGTAGCAAGTTCACCGCCGTTTGCTCAGCTGGCCACCGCACGTGTTGTATGCGATTTAAAGGGTTCCCTTTCTTGGTTTGCATCAATCTAGGGGTACCTTCCCCATTCTTTCCAGGGTCCTTCTTTTCAGGAAACCATCAAAAGCCCAGGGGAACAGCCGGTTTTTGAAAAGAACAATGGTTGAAAAGAATTGGGAATCAACCCCTAGAATTAAGGGAGCCAGAAGGAAAGCATCCGTTGTAGGAGTTCACCATGAGACAAAACACCATAGGGCCTCTGCGCTTTTGCTGGTGCTGAGGCCTTTGGTGGCTTGAGGAGGGGCGAGAAGTTCACAGTTGACAAGTTGGTGGTTTTGCGGACAGAGGCCGGAAGTGTCTGGGCCTAGACTCCCGGGTTGTGTCCTGTGTTCCTTTTTGTTCGAGGTTCCTTAAATAGCAGCCCTTGCTCTTGGCCACTGGCCTGAGGTTCAGGCAGTCCTCAATCCTTGGGCTTCATCTCGGAATTATGGGTTAGCTCCGAGTGGCTTCATCGCCCCCAAAAAGCCGCTTGCGTTTGCACTTGGCAAACAAGCGGAGATGCATGTCGGGACGAATGCCGGTCAAGCCCACCTGTCACTTTGGGGAATGGCTGTCGCAGGTGAACTCCCAAAAGGATGGCGTGGAGGAGCTGAGAGTGCGAGATCTGACCACGGCCGTGGAATAGTGAACGGTTGCCTGCAGTGTGGGTTTTCTGATTTGCTTGATTCTTGTGGATGCCAAACTTGACCAGAAAGGGGGGGGGGGGGGGAAGGTGGACGACGGCCACGAAAGCAGACCTTGTCCCTTCCAGGAGGTCTACCGTTGGTCTGGACCCACCTGGCTTAAGGCGCGAAGGGCAGCCACTGTGGCACTCTGATTCATTGTAAGATGGAAGATGTTGTCATCCGTGGCCCGCTTGTTGCAGTTGTCCATGGCGAGTGACAAGATTGTGGGCAGAAAAGGGGGCCAGACGCTCCCGCTTCCCCACAACAGCTTGGAAAAGGGGGTGGTTCAGCATGTTGGACATTCTGAAGAATGGTCGGGGGGGGGGGGGATTCCTGCCCTGCATCGACACATTGCCCGACAGCATTATTTGCTGTCAGTTTAGACTTGCCATTTCGACGTGGCTGTAGCAGGGGGATACCTACGAAGAGGATTAGTTTGAAGCACACCTCTGGCACGGGTCCGCCGTCTCTCAAGTTAAAGGTAACAGTCTGTGTTTGTGTGTGATGCTCCCCTGCAGCATAGATGTGGTTTGATTGCATACAGGTTCATGTTTACACCGCGCGCCTGGCAAGAGACTGTCAAGAGTTCGCTGCTCCAGCTTTTTGGCCCAAGAGAACCCCAACAAAAGCGATTGGCCATCAGAGAAAGGTGCACAGATGCCGAACTTCATGAACTTCAGGAAGCCAGCCAGTCATCTCCTTTGACGATCCAGTGGCATGTGTAATATATATATATATATATATATATATGTGTGTGTGTGTATTACTACTAAGTATTACTATGTTTGTTACATATGTATATATCATTGCATTTATACGTACCTGCACATGTACCTGTTGCTGGTTGAGCATAGGTCATAAATCGCCGTTGCGATTTCGGTGGAAGGCTTAGAGCTATGGGCTGGTTCCAGCGGGCCCGGGAGTCGCTCTTCTCTGTGACTGGCATCTCCACTGTTTGCTTGCAACTTGGACCGCGGAAATGGGGGGTACACAACTTTGGGGAATGCTGGGTTCATTGCCACATACCTATCGCACCAAGGTTTCAAGGCATGGAATGAGCCCTGGGTCTGGAGGCTGACTCCAAACTTATTTTGCAGGGTTCAAATTCCTGGGGGATGGTTTCAGTAAAGGAGCTGCCACACTGGGATGGCTTGCACAGTTGGCTTTTAGTACAAGACAGGCAACAGCGATTGCTAAGCGGAATGCCGGCCCCGTGCCCCAGCAGCGAGTAGATGCTCATGGGTCCTCCCGTGAAAGATTTGTCTGCACTTGCTATCCGCGTTCCCTTTCTTCAATTCAGCCCGCGGTATGCGGTGAGGTTTGCTGCCAGCTGGTTCCTTGCCACGGACCTCATCCGTGACTACTTAGCTGCCAAGCGTGCTTCTGCACGAAGAGCTCTAGAGGCCCGGATGTTTCTGTGGCGTTTTACACCAAGGGGCGGGCCACATCACTTCCACGTACATTTGGGGATTGCGGCATCTAAATGGCCCGTGTTTGAATAGTGTGGCAAAGGCAAAGGTAATTTGTGCTTTTGCCGCCCTCCTTGTCAAGAATCAATTGATCAAATGACTCTCACCGACCAGGACCAGATGCGCGTACAGCCGCGCGTTTGGTCTGCCCATGAGCTTGCCCCATTCGACGGCAGCGACCCCAGCAAGCCGCGGCTTGGATTTGAAATTAATCAGATAGCTTTGTTCAAGTGGCACTCCAAGCCCGCTTAAAAACCAACACATGGAACCTGAAAATCGCGGATGTTGCAAGCTGAGCTTTATTTGGGAACATGGCCGGAGGGGTAAACTGCACATTCCTACATGGTAGCTTGTTCATCCCTGCTTTTCACATCGCCGGCTTGCTTGACGTGTTGCGCAAGCGTCTTTTCACTTGGAGTGCATGCGTTTAGCATGTTCAGCTGGTTACTGGGCGTTCTTGGTGGCGTTGACTCTGCTATTGAGCGTTTGAACTGGTGCCGGGCATGGGAAGAGCATCACAGCCATAACCTAAGATCCTCCCCGCTTCCTTCTCTTTCCCCGGACGTGAAGCGAAACCGTGGCGAGCCTCAGGATTCTGATTGGTGTAGATGGCCTCTCAGCCGCACCTTCAGCCGAAGGTCGCTTTTGGGTTTGGGGCATAAGTTCAGCGACTAAACTGAGCCCGGGGGATCAGAGTGGCTGGCAACCCGATTTCCTTGAGTGAATCATCCGCCTGAAGGGAAGGCCTAGGGGCAAAAAAGCAAAAAAGCAACAGCGCGGTGAGGTGAGGTCTTCAATGTATGGCGGGGCCGTGACTTCTATGGCAGCAACGGGCCCTACGGCATGTTTGCTGGCAAGGACTCATGGGGAGCTCGCATTTCTCTTGGGAAGGCTTTTATGGCTGTTTAAAAAGAGCTTGCCAAAATGGAGATTGCCGCAATGGCGAAATGTTTGGGCGGAAAATTGGTGGCCCTGGCTTTCGGAATGCCCTGGGCCCTACCCCCTCCCTCAAAACACCCGCCGCCGCCTTGACAAATGCGGCAGGACGCCACAAGATACTTTGCCAAACAGGTGGTGACTCTAGAGGAAGACGACGGGAAGGATCTCACAGAAGAGGCGCGCGAGAGAGATAGAGAGAGAGAGAGAAGGCACTGGCAGTTTGCCCTTATCCACTCGTGTCCCCCTGCTTGGAGTAAAACTGTGGAGGTTGATCTAAAGCATCACTTCCGGCGTTATGGTAGGAAGTGGCGCTGATTCATTCTCGCTCGGAAAGGAGAAGGACAACATGAAGAGCTGGAAGGAGTTCTTGAGATACAAGTACGATTTCGCTGGCACCCTTGCCTAGTCCATTGGATGCCGCCAACGAGCTGCGGCCTGCGTCGGATCGATTCGCAGGCATGGCTTTGCTGGCTGATGCCATACCGCTCTGTGTACAGCCGGAAGCGACGCCACGGAAGCATCTAGGAAAATCAGACCCAAAGCAGGGTCCTGCAGGCGGGTTCCCGTGGCAGGAGGGGAGCTTTTGAAAACGTTCGCCCATCGTTTCGCCTAGGGGGAACCCCATGCGAACGAAGCGCGTGCCATGCTTTGGCGCCGGTGTGACCTGGCTCGCTGAGCCAGTTACCAGCCTCGCAAGTGGCAAAAGGCGCATTGCTGGAGCCAAAAGCTGACATGGGTCCATGGCATGAACCCATCAGTTCGGACTGCTGAAACGGTAATTAACCTACCCAGGGGTTCGACCCGTGGTTCAGCTTGTGATTCTCTGATTGTGCTTGCGCATTGCCTAGGGGATAAACTGCGTACCCTTGGGTAGATGCTGGCATCTCCTGCGTAAGTGTGGAGTTGTACCCTGTATCCATGCTGTACTTATTGTGTACATGGGCTTCAGAATTTTGCGGCAGTGCCCCAAATTTGCGGTTGCACGATGCCAGGGCCAGATTCACATGGCGGTGCTTTGCCAGAAGGGCCAGAAGTCTGCGGAAGATCCTACTCCGAACCAGGCACCCAACGCCTTCTCAGTCAGTGGATGTCACACTTGGCGAGGCTTCTCATTGGCCAAAAGGCGGACAAAGCAACAAACATTAAGTCTTGCAGAAAGGCTTTCCCGGCACACCAGCACAAGGGGGTTGATCAGTGTTCCTTGCCCCCAACTCACCATGGGTAACTGTCCTCATTTAGTGGTTGACAAACATCATCTTGTTAGTGGTTTCCCAACCAGTGGTCATCCCATGTATTTCGAGCATTTTGATCAACCCCCATTTGCATCCAAAAGGAGGGAGCCTCTCCTTTCTGTGACCCCGGTGTCTTTTTGGTATGTGTCCCTTGACAAGCAAAGAAGCAGGTTTGATGAACCCCCACGCGTGATTCTACACGTTCTCTCAACAAGGACGCGCGATATTTGCGCCGCTGGCAGGACAACTACTTTGCTCTGCACGTCTGGAGCTCAGGTCCGAATCATTCGGGAAGTATGGGGGAGCTCCGGGCGATGGCATTGGTTCCTTTGGTTTCCCAAGCCAAGGTGAAAAGGGGGCCCTCAAAAAGCCGTCGAAGGTTGAGGTGCAAAAGATGCTCAGGTTGGTTCCGTCGGGCTCTACGGCGTGTGCGACGGGCACGGCCCCTTCGGCCACTTGGTGTCCTTTCGCTTAGCCCGGCGCCGAGATGGTCAGAGGTATGCCTGAGCAGAGTAGAGCTAGATGGGCTCGTCGGGGCCCAGCTGGGCTGGGGCACCTGAAATTGTGCAATGGATTTGACGGTCCGGCGTGCAGCTAGGCCAAAAACCTTCCGAGTTGGAGCAAAGGTGCTGACATCCTCCGTTTGATCCTTCATGGATGCTGAGGCTCACATTTTGCGGGTTAACATGGAACCCCAACCCTGTTTGCAGATGAATCCTTGTTAGATTGAGGGTGGTTGCCAAGTTTTGAGAATCAGGAGCCCAAGCGCCAACTATGAGGTACAGTCTCTTCCGCACTTCTTGACGACCAACGCAAACTGGGGCAAGGCCGGGATACGCCAACTGGCTCTGCCTGTGAATTCTCATGGCTGTTTCTAGGGATGGGGTTGTTCCCTTTTGACCTACCATGGATGGGGGTGACTTTGACAGTGGCAAACTGGTGGGGCCAGAATGATGTCCGCCGAGTCCCCAAATCGAAGTGGCCGTGGCTTATTTCGCTTTCGGAGCGGTGCGCCGGAGTGGCGCTAAAACCAAGCATTTCAATTGAGCATCCCGGAACAAATGTGTCGATGTGGGTAATGTTAACCCCATATTAATCAACCCCAGTTGTTTAATAGGGGGTGTCCCAGGGAAATGTGGCTTTTGGAGGGGAGCACCCCCCACCCAAGCTGGTTGACTGATTCATCTGGGGTCAACACTACCTTCTGCTTCATTTCCATGCACAAGTGCTGCCCGCGACCCTTCAAGGACTGAACCCTGCCCATCCCATGGTTTTTGGTGGGGCCTGGAAAGAGCGATCCATGCCGGGCTGTACATGCGTTGGGTGGACGCTCTTGACCAGGACTGGGCGACCTGCATGAAGGAGGCATTCCTGGCGGCCCAGCAAGAACTGCTGAACTTCGCGAGGGTGGAGGGTGCGGTTGCCCAGCTTGGCCCGAGCGATTCCAGATTTCGCTGGTACCCGCCCGGGCATGCTGCTTTCAGCTTGAGTTCTGTTCGAGCCCCTTTCCTTGCGCTTTGCCGGCGGGATTTCCTGACGTGCGACGCAAAAGTAAGTGCTTCAAACGGAAAAGCCAGCGTGGCAATGACTGCTCATCGCATAGAGCGCTCGCCGTGTTTACCGTGTAACTTGCTCCATGGCCTCATGGGGCTTCGTCGCTTGGTGTGTCTTGTCTTCGGGGACCCGGGTTTTCTTGAGAGCCACAACAGAAAGGGTACCCTCAAAAGAGCAAAGCCCCAGGCGGCTGGACAATTGGATGCTTCAGTTGTGGGGAAAAAAAACACCTTCCCGCGCAGGCTTCAGCGTGGAAGCCTCAGGTGCTGCCGGCTCGGTGCTGGTCTTTGAGGCGGGCGAACGGACAAAATGAAAGGCCTGGGTGGTGAAATCCCCGACCCTAAGTGCTTCAGAAACCAAGACAAAAAGGTGGGAACACCTGCTCTTGAAACCATGGGTTAAATATTTCGTTGGAAAACGCCTGTTCCCCGCCCCCTCAGCAAGGCGATATCGGGGGGGGACCGTACACGGTCGCTATGATTCTGCCTTCAACAGTTGAATGTGGGGTTCCAAAATCTGGGTTCTTGGATCACTCCTTGTTGCACTGAGGTCATAATCCATGCTGCCTTATCCTTTGGCTGGGGGTCATGCATGCATGTGTGTGTGTGTGTAGCTAATTGCAATTTGTTTGCCTGGGGCATGAGGTATGCTTGGTACGCATAGCTCTTTGCAAGGGTTGCTTCGAGACTTTGATTTAAAGGGTCTGGGGGCCGCCTATTGCTTGAGACCTAGCAACAGCATGCCAGGGGCCGTTGGTTCACGTTGCGCACATCGGAGACGCAGGCGAGGTCCGCAGCTCGAGGCTAAACGTGTGAGACGCGTTTGGTGTTAGCTGTGGTCCTGGATGCTTCAGCCAATATGTTGCCACAGTTCTTGGTGGCTCCCAGCCCAGCCATCCGGTTCCTTAGCTTTTTCGCTCGAAGGGATTTAGGGTTGGGTTCGCATTAAGGGACCATGGCCATGGCTTGCACAAGAAGCTTTTGACCGCACATGGCATCCAGTTGCTGACCAGTAGTAAGGAGAGCATGCCACGTGACATGTTTCAAATGCCACCCGAAGATTTGCTCTGTTTGACATGTTGCTTTTTCCGCGCTAAAGTCGCGCTAAGCCTTACGAGGATCAGGCCAGTCGCATTTCAGATGCAATCCCGCCATCTCCCAGGAGGGGATGTGCCCTTCCTCCAACTAACATGGCACCTGTGGGGAGGTGGAAGACGAATTTCCTTTTGAAGGGACCCCCTGCCAGTTGCCATGGCAACGTGGGAAGGAGGGTATGTGTTTCTCATATTTTCCAGACCAGTTTGGCAGCCAACTCAAGTCGTTGAGGCTGCTTGGTGGCCTCCTGGAACCGTCACGATTCCCGCGTACTCTACGGCACCGAGGAGTGAGATCGTTCTGGCCAGTGCTTTGGCACCTGCAGACCATGTACATCCCCAATAACATGTGTTTGTCTTTTTCAGGACAACACGCGTGTGGGTGTGGGTGTGAGTGTGCGTGTGCGTGCGCGTGCGCGTGTGCGTGCGCGCGTGGGCGCGTGTGCGCCTGTGCGCCGGGCGCGCGCGCGTGCGTGTGCGCGTGCGTGTGCGTGTGCGTGTGCGTGTGCGTGTGCGTGTGCGTGTGCGTGTGCGTGCGCGCGCACGTGCGTGCGTGCGTGCGTGCATGTTTTTTGTTGTTTTTTTCTTCTCCCTTTTCGGGCCAACGGTTTTGTGAGGTTTGCCCAGGCCCAAACTCAAGTCGAGCATTCTGCCCCGAAGCGCCCGAGCGGCGCCGAGCTGCTCAAACCATTGTTCTGGGAATGCTTTTTTGACCTTACGTGGGTGGGGGGTCCTGTAAAGCAAGGGTCACTTGGAACATCCCATTGTAAATGTGCCAGGGATTAACAAGTAATGAGGCAATTCAGAAAAGTTGTCTTCAAAAGTAGTCCCGTCCAGAAAAGAGAGCGGGAATACAGACAAGTTGCTTTTCGGCAGGACAAAACATGGATGCCCGTCCGTAGGTGAGAAAAACATGATACCATGTCCGAGCAATACTAACTTTGACCAATTAGTACTAAACCACTACAAACTAGTGCGAACCAGTACTAAGACAATCCTGAGCCAGCAGCTAAACCAACTGAGGCCCCAAACAACCAGTTCCTTTATGAGAGCCCCTTTAAAACAGCCCGCCCAGACAGATAATGATGAATGCAAAAGGGGACCTCGCAAACGAATACTAAGACACCACTAAACTAAACTAATACTAAGTTAATACTAACCAGGACTAAGCCAGAAGGAGCTTTGTTGGAGGGTTTTTGAGGTTTCCCTTTATAAGTTCGCGCCAAAAAAAAGCGCACTTGTTTCCGGCACCAATCAACCGTGCAATCCTGCGTGTAGTCTCTCAGAACCAATTTGTTAGATATCACCCATGCTTGCAACATGGAATCCACAATCCATTTTAGGATGATCGCCAAGAGCTCAGGCACCTTGTTTTGCATGTATCCTTGAAGAGCTACGGTTACGCAGGTTTTGCGTGTGTTGTTCCATTTGCCAAGGTGCCATGTGGGTGCAATTTGTTTTGCGCAACCATTGGTTTGGGTTTCTTGTTCCATTGGTTGCACTTCAGCATTACCGTGGATGGACGAAATCCTTCACCACCTAAGAAACCCTGGAATGATATTCTTCTAGGCAATTTAGAGCGAGGTCAGCCGAGGTGCGAGGTGGAGCAAATATTTGAAGCGAGGCGATTTAACTAAATTCAGAACAACGAGGTGCACACGTAGATGCAGCAGGAGAGGGTCCCACAGCAGGAAAAAACTGTTCAGGGCCTAAAAAGTTATTTTATACTGTCAGAGGTGATTGTTGGGGAAAATAACTTTTTGGGCCCTGCAAAGTTTCTTTTCCCGTAGCCTTCCCGTAGCCTTCCCGTAGCCTTCCCGTAGCCTTCCCGTAGCCTTCCCAGAGCACCCCTAGTCTCATTGTTTCCGGCAACCCCTCAGCAAAGCCTTTGACACAACAAAGGCCAGCCACTTGCCTGTGGCCAGGGTCACATGGAAAGATATTCTGACATTGCTGTCATTTGGGATCCAGCGGCAACCGGAAATGCAAAGGATCCTTTCCAAGGTGTGTTTGGAGTGGGGAACAAACGGAACGAAATTTCTGGAAACGGCGTAGCGGCGGAAAAATGAATAGTTTTGAGAGCTCAATTTAATGAACCATGCTGTATTGCATGTTGTATTCCATGTATATGGCAGACTTGTACTAGGACATCGTATTGGTGTTTGCGAGCTGGGGCTGCCAAAGTTTCCTGTAGCGCACTTGTACTGGGACGCGGCGTTGTTGTTGGCAAGCTTGGGGCTGCCAAAGCGCAAAATAAACTTTTCAGGGCTTGTAAAGTTGTTTTTCAGCACTCCAGGCAGCTATCCGGGGCTGCCAGCCCTCAGAATGGAAATAAGCGACCCTGCAGGGCAGCTAGCGGCCGCAAACCTGCAAAGTAAACTTTTCGGAGATTGAAAAGTTTTTCAGCGCCTCCAACGGCAATCCGCGTTCTGGACTCGTACTGCAAAATTGTGATTTTCGCGCTGGAGCTGCGGAAGCGTACTTTTTTGTACTTGGCTTGTACTGCGAGTCGTGGAAGCGCGCTTCTTGCACTAGGTTTGTGCTACAAAATTGAGTTTTTCGAGCTGGAGCTGTGGAAGTGTACTGGAACGTGGCATGGGTGTTGGAAGGCTCAGGGCTGCCAAAGCGCAAAATAAACTTTTCGGAGCCTGAGAAGTTTTTAAGCACTTTAGGCAACTATCCGCGTGCTAGACTTGTACTACAAAGTTACGATGTGACGAGGGATTTAACGCGGTGACGAGGTGACGAGGTGACCACGGATTTAACGAGGCGAGGCGCGCACTCCAAAACCTTATTTAGCAACGAGGTGACGAGGTAAGATTTGTTGCAAATTGCCTAGATATTATTTTCCCTGTAAATACCAATGAAAAATGGCTTCAACCATGGTTTCCAAGTGGTGCGAACGGATTTCGCAACCATCCACTTCCCCGGCAACTCCCAGCGAAAGCCCAAAGCGCAGGACCACAAGCCCAACAGCCCGGGTGAGCGCGAGCGCTTGGAAGCCGCTGGCAGCGAGGTGCGGCAGGCGCGGCGCTCGCAGCGGGATGTGGCTTTGGGTTCGCGCAGGTTCGCTTAGAGTTTTGCTTACGAACCGCTTTCCCCCCTGCTTTTTTCTGGTGACCACATCCGCTTTGCCCTCAATGGGGGGGACCTCCAAAATGACGAGTTTGGGTTTGGTTCCCCTTAGAACCATCCCTTGTTGAGCCATATCAAGCCTACCCTCAAAGCAGCGCAAACCCTTTGCAACGAAGATCAGTGAACTGGGTGATTAACAGGGGGCGTGCTCTCTTTTTGGGGGATCTCGTGAATTTCCATTCTTCCCTTTAAAACCCCAAGAAGGGCACCCTCAACACAAACGCTCATGGAAGAAACGAGCGCAACCCTTGTTGGCCATTTCTCAGGCGGTTCTACAACCTGGTTTCATAGGGGTAGTAAGGCCTATATGAGCCTGTACACCAAAAGTCAACTGGAGTGCGGCGCTGCTCACGTGTCGAATTCGGGACCCAAACAATTGAACCCAGGTGAAAAGGGTACTAGCAACAGAAAAGGAACACACCCACTCGTTGTTTTGTCTGAGCCAAAAAAGCACGGTTTCCCAACTGTTGGATAATAATGGGAGCCCAGGATCATAAACGCCTGGTTGATTCACCAAGGGGGTGCCACTCATATAAGATGAAGCCCCAAAATTATCCACCAGGTTGATGAACCTGTCGACGGTACCAAGCCAGAGGAAAGGAAACTCTTGGGTTTTGGCTTGGCCCTCCATGGTCCAAAGCTGCTGTTAAGTGAATGGGAAGGCGCACGGAATGGGAAGCAACCCCAGCCCTGTCCTGTGGGCAGTCATGTGAAGGTTCACATGAGACTTGGGAAAATTGCGCCGCATAGGGTTCCCTCGTCAGACATACCCGCTCACCTATGGGCAAACAATTGGAGAGACAACGCTTTTCGAATTGATTAATCTCGAGGAATCTCCCAAAGGCTCATTCAACCCCCTGGTTGTTCGAGGCCCTTCTGAAAAAGTTGCTGGGGAGTAGGTGGGCTTGGACTTTTGGGAGGGGGGCGAACTGTAGAACGACCTAAAGTGTGGCAGCTCAAGTTTGTCTTCAAGCTAGGCTTGTGGTATTTCCCAAAAAGACAGCATGTCAGAATGCAAAAGCCCGTGGCGCATACACAGAGGCAGCATGCCAGCCAAAAGCACGTTCTTTCCAATGGCAGGTGGATGTGGATAGCTTCAGGATCTACATCAAGGGTACCAACTTCCCTGGCCTGACTATGCAACCTGCCTGCAAGCTTCAGCTCCAGATGAGTCAGATTCCACCTGCTCCCTGGGCCCCTTAAAATGAGTTGTTTGGAGGAGATTGTAGCTATGCCAATGCTTTGCTGTCATCCTTCGCTCGAGGTCAAGAGCTTTCGGCGACACCGCTTGCGCCGGAGTTATTCAGGCGCCGCGACCGCTTCGGAGGTGTGCCAACCATTCGGCCCCTGAACACCGAAAGCGAACTCGGAAATCCAGCTGCGGATGCGGATTTGTTCCATCTTCCAAGCTCAGGAGCCACACTACCACCAGATGTTTGTGCAGCCCACCGATGAGCGCCGCAGCTGCAACAAAAACAAGCCCAAAATGCGAAGCCCCAACGAAGAGGAAGCTCGAAAAGGGTTCGTCAAAAGGACATTCCTCTAGTAATGGCTTGGGGCTCCATATAGATTTGCAGGGGAAGGTGTTGGTCAGAAGTAGAGCTTGCCGCGCTTTTGGATCGCCCACATGTTGATTGCAGGAAAGTCGCAACAAAGAACACTGGCGATTGCCGTTCGAGGTCTATGAGACCGCCCTTTGGTAATTCATGATGAGTTAGAGGGCATGCTCACCAGAGTCTTCAGGGCCGCCGGGCTATGCTTTTGGGTATGTTTTCAATGGGGGGTGGTTGCACAGGCCCTGTCAATCGCTGCTCAGGGTGTATGCCATCATCGCCTCCGATGGCATTTGGGAGTTCCTGGACTACGCCAAAGTCGTGGACTTGTCCGCCAAGAAGCGTCGGCCTCAGGTCGACTCCGGGTGAACAAGTTTTGCTGAAAGTGATCCAGATCCCTTTTAAAATGGACAAATCCGCGAGGGGTTCATCAAATCTGGCACCCTCTCACCACCCCTACAGCAGATACTGATCGGGGGTTTCGGCGTTTTGCAATTCTCAACATCAATGGGCGCTGCCATGATGCAGAAGTGTTCCATCCTTCGAAATTATGCTTGAATATTGAACCTGTCCTCCCACATTTGCAGCTTTGCGCTGGTATTGCCTAAAATGGCCGAAAGTTCACTGCTCAGCTGACCTGTGAAGTGCAGGCCGCTGTCAAACTCATCCAGGAATAAACTCCTGGTTGATTGGGGATATGGTGAGCTGCCCTCTCGAAGTGGAGCAGAAATAGCGTTCTTGAGAAGGTCATGATGCAGGAACCTCACTTGCTCACCTAAGGTGCAGGAGTCGGACCAGGAAGCGGCGCCAAGAAAGATTGAGAAAGAAAAGAAGCGGTCGGTTTCACCAAACAGGGGCTCATGTGAAACTGAGCAAGTAAATCGAACGCCGTAGCACGCTCACAGCAAGACAAGCCCATGGAAAAGTGCGGGTTATGGAGCGTTCAAGTGGTTTTCTGTTTGCGTTGCCCTCAACTTCCCAGCCCAACTCTGCAAGCCGATCCGAGCAAATACCAAGCAGAAGGGGAGGCAATAGTTGCTCCTTTCACCAACTCTCTTTGCTGTCTGGTGGTTGGGGAAATGGAGGAGGAAAAGGGGCAGAGATAGTTCTTGTGAATTTATCTTCCGTCGGATCACGATACCTCCAATGTTGACCCTACAAAGCTGTTCGGCTGCGCTGGCTGTGCAATGGCAGCTCCCTAACCCACTACCCCGTCCCAACCATGTTCAACATCCAGTCTATGGCAAGGGTACAGTTCCGCAATCGCCCAACCAAGTGCAAAAGCAAAGAGCGAGGATCCAGCGGCCCAGCTTCCAAGCCAACTGGCAGCCAAACCAGTGGATGTCACGTGCTGTTTGTTTCTCTGGCAACCTCCCAGAAGCTCTTCGGCAACCAGCTGAGAGATGAACATGTTAGCCCGAGCACCGCGTGGCGCGCCCTCAGGCTGCGGCTGAAAGGTCCCCGGGAGGCGGTCGGACACCTGGTGGATGCTTCCAGGACGGGCGTCGTTGTTTTTCGTTTCTTTTTCTTTTCTTTTTTTCCGACGACGAACGGGAGGCGGTGTGCGCTTTAAGACTAGGGTCTGACTGAAAAGGGCGTGGGTGAAATGGTTCATGTTGGCTACAGCCTTTGAAGCAAAGCCAAACTGACTGACTGAAGGGTGAGAAACACCCAAGTCAAAGTGCCCCTTGTGCCCCTGCCTGACTGCCGCCCAAATAAGAAACATGCCTTGAATTTGGAACAAGCTTTAGGTGTGTGCTGTGTGCCTGTTTGTGGGGTTCCCATTCTTTGGGTTGTTTCTTGTAGGGATGAAGCCAGGATGATCCTGTTTTGACATAACCTTGCGCCCACAACTTTGACTGGAGGAAGCGCTGGGCTGCTTACTGCGGCGATTACTGTCATGCCCTCAGCCTCCAACTTGGAAGCCGAGTGCTTGCCGAGCACTTTTCGGTGGTTGGGGCTGGTGGTTGTCAGGAAGGAAAAAAACTGGAAGAGTGGGGCCACTAGAATTCTGCTTGCCATGATGCTCGACAAAAAAAGCAAACATGCCGGGAGCTCAAACTTGAATAAATGGTCGAAAGCAATTCCAGGCGATGACATCACTGCCATGCTGGTGAAGTGGAACGTGAATGCAAAGGACTGGGGGTTGCTTCCACGTTGCGTGGTAAATCATTTGGCTGCCTTTTGCATTTTACCCTGAGCTGCCCTTTGAGTTCTAATAAAACGGGCGCTGGCATTTTCCCGCGTTGCTGGCCCCAGCTGCCAAACTTAGTCGAGCTGCCCAGCCTGGTGTTTTTTTCGCATAGTATGCATTTTGCATTGAAGTCTACCAAGTCATAGTCCTCATGCGCCCTGCAAGAACAAAAGACCCTCTAGCACCCACATCTGAGAGAAATGAAGGCCTGTTTGTTCGTGCCAAACATAGAATTGCACAGACCCCTTTCGGATCCTCGGAAATCTTCGAGCCGTAGGGCTCCGACAACAGCACCAACTACGAATTCGCCTTGACGCAGCCAGAGCTGCTCAGAAAGCAAGTGGCAAAAACTCGGTGTCGCTCGTTTTGAGTGTTTTCTTTGAGCTAGGGGATGTCCTAGATGGGCTGAACTTTGGTGCATTTTGCTTGGATGTTAGTACTTTAACTTTTTGCCAACTAATGGGTTTTGCATCAAACCACTAAAAGTTAAACTTTCAGCAGACAAGCAAAAAGCAACCAAGTGAAGATAAGGATAAGGTTCCGTCCAAGTTGGATGTTGGCGCAAGGTGACGAGATGGCCAAGCTTCGGCCCAACCCAGCTCGACTGGTGAAAGAGCCGTGCTTTGTTAATGCAGTTGACCCCGGCCATGCCGGTCATAGCTTGCTTCGATTGTGAAGCATGTGCTGAAGCACCCAAAACAGAGGATTTCGGAGTGGGCCGCTGAATCGATTCATCCGCAGGCATGTCAAAAAAGACTAATTTCCCCTTATTGCATGCAGCGCTCTGAAGCAAGCTATCTAAATGGAAATGGTATGCTGGCTGCTAAGGCTTTCACCAGGAAGTTCCTGATTTGCAAGTTTCGAGCCACCACGTGTCTAAAGCGGAAACCGTTGATTCTTGCGTCCTTTGGGCGGTTTTCTCGTATGTTTGTGTTGTTCTCGTTGTTCTAGTGTTTTTTTTTTTCTGGTTTCGGGGCCCTCCTGGGGTTCGTGTAGTATTTCTTACATTCTTGATCTGGTTGTTGGGAAAAAGGTCATCTTCTATGAATTTGCTGGCTTCTTAAAGGAAATAGAAACAAATCGAAATCTGGGATACATATGTATATAGACAAACTCATGCTCTGTCTGGCTTTTGATGCCTCGTATGAAGGTGAGGGTTGGCTAACATGTGTATTTACTTGATATGGGATGAAACAGTTTTTGAATTTTGTATAGTGTTTTTTAATGATAATATTAGATAAACACATAATAATTAATTGTATATGTTTGTGGTTTTGATTGATATAAGTATTGAATAATATTAGGAGAAACAATATTATAGAAATTGGGAATATATATTTATAAATTATTTATATATATGAAAATAATGGATAATTATATATATATATATATTAATTATGTAACAAATAAAAATAACAAATAAAGATAATATTTATTTAATAATTAACATTATATATATATATATATGAGCCACGGACAAAACACACGAAGACCACTTTATCAAGGCGGGGTACGTTTTTGCATAACACATGCCAAAACCATGGAAAACGATAAGGTCTCCCCCAAAAACGATAACCCTTAGCTAACACACGGCTCTATAATAACCCCTGCAGTTGCAACTTCTTGCGTGGCCACCGTAAAACGAGAAGGCGAGTCGCCACTTTCGAGCTGGAGCTGCCAAGGTGTGCTTCGTAAATACGACACTTGTACTGAGAAGTTGCGATTTTCGAGCTGGAGCTGCGGAAGTGTACTTCGCGTATACTAGGCTTGTGCTACAAAGTTGCGATTTCCGAGCTGGAGATGCGGAAGTGCACTTCGCGTACTAGACTTGTACTACAAAGTTGCGATTTTCGAGCTGGAGATGCGGAAGTGTACTAGACTTGTACTACAAAGTTGCGAATTTCGAGCTGGAGCGGCGGAAGTGTACTTCGCGTACTGGACTTGTACTACAAAGTTGCGATTGGAGATGAAGAAGTGCACTTCGCTTACTAGACTTGTACTACAAAGTTGCGATTTTCGATCTGTAGCTGCGGAAGTGTACTTTGCGTACTAGACTTGCACTACAAAGTTGCGATTTTCGAGCTGGAGCTGCGCAAGTGTACTTCGCGTACTAGACTTGTACTACCAGATAAAGAGTCGGGGCATATATCTGCCTGTCCGTAGCAATTTTAGCTGAAATCTTTGCCCATCTTCCGAGAGTTTGGCGATGCGAGAAGCTGTGAGCCGCGGCCGATTGTTGCGATCAGTGGTGTTTTTTCCCAATGCTTTGGGCGAAATCAGTCCGGCTTTGCTTGCATTTCGCTTGCGCTTGCAACAACTGCGTGTGTGGATGGATCTTTTGAGGCCAACAGCCCGCGGATCCGTTCTCACCTTGCCCAGGCGACCGCCTTGCACTGACTCTTTGGCGTGACCTTATCGCGACCAGCCCGGCCCTCAGTGCGTCTCGCGACCTGTGTTTGGAGAACGGCAGCACGCTTTTCGCATGCGACGAGTATACATTCTTTGACGCATATGAGATGATAAAATATGTTGGTGCCTGAGTTGCAACAAATGTCTTGCCGGCGCGGGCTCTATCAGATTTGCTCTGTTCTTGGCACACCCACCACGGCCTGGACCTTGGCCCCTTTTTTGGAAGCCGCCTCAACTTACCCCTAATTGCTGGTTTGGATTGGTGGTTTGGGGATTGAACCCCTGGATCATGTTAAAGTTGAATGGGAAACCACCCCCTAACCTCCAAAACACCGATCCAAACTACCAATCCAAACCCGGGCCGGTAGTAACTTGATGTGGCCAGTCCAAAGAGGGCCGCCAAACACCTGCAACCACCTCCTGGCCACGGGCCAGAATACAGCCGTCGTGGAGGGCAAGGAGCGGCGGGGCAGCGCCGAGACAAGCGCGTGACAAACCGTTTCCCACTGGCTCGCTCCACTGGGCGAGGGCGCCAGGGGACAAGCGGCCGCGCGCAACCGTTCTTGCAGCCCGTCTGCATCGGGCTCGGAGTGGGACGCGTGCACGTGCGCAGGCGAAGCCTGTGGCATGTCGACATCAGAATCCGGCGAGCTGCGCGTCGGAGGTGTGTCTCTTTTTGTCTCTGTCTCTCTCTCTTTTTCTGTTGGTCTCTCTGTCTCTCATATCTGTTTCTTTGTCTGTCTGTCTGTCTTTCTGTCTGTGTCTGTCTGTCTGTGTCTGTTGTCTGTCTGTGTCTCTGTGTCTCTGTGTCTCTGTGTCTCTGTGTCTCTGTGTCTCTGTGCCTCTGTGTCTCTGTGTCTCTGTGTCTCTGTGTCTCTGTGTCTCTGTGTCTCTGTGTCTCTGTGTCTCTCCTCTGTGTCTCTGTCTCTCCTCTGTGTCTCTGTCTCTCCTCTGTGTCTCTGTCTCTCCTCTGTGTCTTTGTCTCTCTTCTGTGTCTCTGTCTCTCCTCTGTGTGTCTGTCTCTTCTCTGTATTTCTCTCTCTCTGTCTCTTCTCTGTGTCTCTTTCTCTGCTCTGTGTCTTTGTCTCTCCTCTCTGTCTCTGTCTCCGTCTCTCTTCTCTGTGTCTGTCTCCCCTTTCTGTGTCTGTCTCTCCTCTCTGTCTCGTCTCTTTGTCTCGTCTCTCTGTCTCTCTATCTCTCTGTGTCGCCGTCTCTTTGTCTCTGTCTCTTTGTCTCTGTGTCTCCTCTCTGTGTCTGTTTGTTTGTGTCTGTTTGTGTCTGTCTGTGTTTGTTTGTTTGTCTGTGTTTGTTTAATTTGTGTGTCTGTGTGTTTGTGTTTGTGTGTTTGTGTGTTTTGTTTGTGTTTGTTTTTGTCTCTATTTTTTTTGTTTGTGTTTGTGTCGTTGTTATTGTGTTTGTTTGTTTATTTGTTTGTTGGTGTGCATAATTATTTATTTATTTATGTATTTATTTGAAAATGATATTGAGTAAGTTAATCTTTATGAATTTATGATATGTAATTGATATTATATAGGTTAATTTTAGATTTTATGAATTTATAGGATTTATTTTTAATATTGTCGAAAAAATTAAAAGAATTTTATTGGAAATTTGGGGAGATTGTGTTTAGGTATGTGTAACACTTGAAAGTAGGGCTTAATATATGCTATTTAAAAATATTAGAATTTTGATTATATAGGTTGGCGAACACTTTTTGGTTACTGTTTCAGTTTGGTTTTCGGATGCGTTGTATGGGGGTGTTTTGGTTGAATAATATTTTTTTAAGGAATGAATTGATGATTTGTTTTCTTTGGTTTAGCCTTAAAAAAGAGTGTTATAAAAGATTATTTAAATAATAAGATTTATGTTAATGACGAAACGATGAAATTCGCCGATTTTGGTTTGGCTTAAGAGATTTAAACAATTTTTTGTTGATTTATTTAGATATTGTTTTTATTTTGGTTGAAATATTGTTCGTTTTGCGTTAGTTTGGCGTTATTTGCACTTAGGATATTTTCTTGTCGATGGTATTTCGTACATTTTATAACACTTATATATGGGAATTCGTTCTTCCTTATTTAGGGCGATCGTATTTTATTGATTATATATTTATATATTGATATCGGGCACTTGAATTACATTGTTATTTTGTGTATCGTAGTGCTTTAGGAAATATATTGAGGTATTGTTGAGAAGTTCTGATCTCCAATTTAGTGTAACATATAATCTTTCGACATATTTTGCCTGGGCAGGGGTCCAAGGCAAAGGCTCAAAATCGTAATCATACATTTTCTCGAAATATTCCGAAACCGTCTTTTGTTAAGCACTTTTCCGTATCTGTGAATATAATCGCATATATCTATCTATGATTATTAATTGGAATATATTTTTATTTTATGCTCTGATTCTGTTACTCTCCTGCTATGGGCTTCATTTCGCACGCTGTTGGAAAGTAGCGGGCCCCCGCTAGTATATATATAAATTGGTATAGATATATTATAAGGTTCGAATATGATAGATTGGATTTAGGATGATGTTGAATAAAGATTTTGTAATTAATATTTGTAGGATTTTGGGGTTTATGAGGATAATTGATATAAAATTTTATATTTATGATGATATTATAAGGAGAATGGTTTTCTAAATAATGTGTTTATTTGTTTTAGGAATTTAAATGAATTAGATGAAATTTATTTAGATAATACATTATAAAATAGTTTGTTTTATATATATTAAAAATATATTAAATTTCAGAATATGGTTTATAATTTTATTAATAATAAATGGTATATATATAATTTCTTTGGGGAATTATGTTTGAAGGATTTGAATATTAAGGGATGTAAAGGATGGAATATTTAGATATTGATGATATAGACTATTGAGGGCGATATATTTGTTTGGGATGATTTGAA